CCGAAATCTCCGCCAGGATTCATAGTAGCGAACATTTGAAATCCATCCACTGCTGTGATGAATGAATCCTCTGTTCCCTTCTCCGCCAACAAGAGCGTCTTTTGGGGTTCCAGAACCGAGTTGAGTCTTTCCAGTACGGAATCATCAGCAAGAGATATTTCATCGAGAAGAAAGAAATGGCCCTCTTTCATAGACTCAACGAGGGCACCGTCTGACCACTCAAAGAGTGCTTTGCTCCTTGTTTCGTTTGATACAATACGTAGCTGAAGTTCCAGTGGAACAGATGAAACGCTGCTTGGTTGAAGCGACTTGTATGTTGCAAGTCTATCTTCAGCCGAACCGGAGATATCTAGTCCTAGAGTTCCCAGAGCAAGCTTAAGGTCCGCATCCAAGGCATCCAGAATGGCACCACGGTTTCGAATAGGTCTCTGTGACCCAATCAAATCGCCAGTTTCGGTGTTCTGATGTGCATTGACGATGTGAAGCTGCTTACCCAACGCCTCAGCAAGAAGTTGGACAACAGTGGTTTTTCCGCAACCAGTCTCGCCAACCAATAGTACTGGCTCGCTGTTCTCTAGAGCGCGGGACACAAGTACGTAGAGACGGCGCATCGAGTGTGTCCAAACAACTCCCTGAGCGTTTTTTTGCTGGGTTAGATGCTTCAACTCAGGCGCAACGTCAGAAGAGTATAGTTTCAGGGGGTCGATTTTGACTTTGAAAACCTTCTCAATCACATCCTTGACAGCGAGACGCTCCTCTTCATTACGAACTCTCTCCGCCAGAAGCATGAATCCATGAATTGCAATTTCCTCGCGAGTATCGGCCTTTCTCAGCGCCCATCTAAACAAGTCTCTCAATGTAGCAAAGCCATCCTTTTGCTCAAACAATCGGCTGGTTTGACGAAGCCGAGACAAGTCCTTGTAGACAGTAACGATTCGTCTGCAATCAGGTGGCGACGTGTTACGGCTGCGTTGCTGCAAGATGAATTCAAGCTCATTCTCGGGGATGTCGTCGAAATGAAGCTCCAAGAATCTGTTTCGGAAAGCCCTTGACAACACCTTTCTGCCACCGTAGAGGCCAGGAGGATTCTGCGTGGCGAAAAGGATGAAATTTTCGTGTGGTCGAACCACCTCTTGGGTTTCTGGGATCAGCAGCTCTCGGTTGTCATCCAGCAGTCGATTAAGAGCTTCAAGGACATCAGTCGGTGCCAGGTTCAGTTCGTCCAGGACAATCCAATGGCCCTGTCGCATGGCCTGAACAAGCAGGCCTTCTTGGAAACGCAACTTGCCGGAGGAATCCGAGATATAAGTTCCCAGATATTCTTGGAGGTCGGTATGTTCATGGTTGTTGATACGAACGAATTTGTTTCCTGTGAAGTTGGCTAGATATTCGATCATACTCGTCTTTCCCGCAGAGGTAGGACCCTGGATAAGAATGGGGAAGCGCCTCGTTGAAGTAGCACGGACCAAGTTGAGAAGATTGCGCTCGACATAAGGGGTAATAATAAAATCATCTCGTTCAACGAGCGGCTCCTTGCCCTTGAACAACCAATATTGTCTGTCGCGGTTCTTATTGTTAAATCGCACATACTCCTTGCCATCGTTAGGGTGCTTCGGTGGTTGCGAAAGGAGGGATTGTGAGTTTCCATGATTCTCAAAGATGTGGTGATGAATGAGGGGCAAAAGCATCTCCTCGGAGTTGCGATCCAGGAGCGTCAAAAATCCCATGGAGAAACCTTCATAAAGGGCCCTTCGAAGACCATACGAGGGAGCAATAGTATTGACGTAGCTCAGAACTCTGGTCAGTGTTCGAAGACTGAAATGAGGCACTTCGTTGGCTCCATCTACCAGTCTTTTCTCTTCAGCCAACCTCTTTGTGTTGAGGTAGAGTCGAGCAATATCGTCAGCGGCTTGGTCATTCTTAGCGCTAGAGCTACCCAGGTATGTCTTGATAATTGTAAGAAGATCTTTGAGATCTCCATCAGGACTTCGCACATATAATTCAGTAAATCTTGATCTGATCCCCGTGGGAAGATCGCGTTTTCCAACGTCAGTCGCTGGATTCATAGCACCAAATATGCGGAAGTTCGGGTGCGCGACGACCTTTTCAATCTCCCCTGTCTCTGAGAGCAATATCGAGGGCAGTTCCCCGGAATCTGTTAACAAGTCCGCAATGCTTTCCAGGGTGTCTGGAGATGCAAGATTGATCTCATCCAAAAGAACCCAGTCGCCGTTTCGCACAGCCTTGACGAGATTGCCCTCCATGAACGTAAAAGCAAGACTGCTGGCTCCGCCTGAAACTTGTACTTCGAATTGATCCAGCTTCTTCGCGAATGCGTCCCACCTTGGCCGTAAATCAATGAGAGTCTGCAGCTTGGACTGAGTCTTTCGGCGTTTGGCCGGCTGTCCATCGCCATTTCTAACTTCCTCTTGTTGGGCACTCGCGCGTTCAAGATCGCCCACAATCTTGTTGAACATCCTTGGTGCCTCTTTCCACAGCTTCGCAACTTTAGCCCATTGGCCTTTCGCAAAGCACTTTCCAACTTGTTCAAAGTACTTTTGATTCTTTGACGCTGAAATGCCCGTAGCTGCAAACAAGTCTTCGAACTCCTCCTTAAGAGGGACCGCCAATGTTCGCACATTCACGGGCTTGAAACCTCCCAGCAGATCGCCAACTTCACTTTGTTGCGAAAGATTCACTGCAATCAGCTTGTGACCCAGAGATTCGGCAAGCTGTTGAACAACTGTCGTCTTACCGATACCAGTTTCTCCCACAAGGAGAACTGGTTCACTCAATTTCACAGCGACAGCAATTTGTTCAAGTAGCTTCCTGGCATGGGCGGTGCTAGCGAATGGCCTCCTAGACTTCTGAACTCGGCCCGCAGACTTCTGTTTTCGCAATTGAACACGTCCAATGCTCCACTGAACATCATTCTCTTGGATTGCAGGAATGTAAGCGGCCATGTAATGTTCGGCTTTCTCAATGGGAAGATGCATTTCTTCCGCAATCGCATAGACCAGCTTCTTGCTTGTCTCGGTGTTCGCGCAGTTGCCGACAAAGCAGTCAAGGGCCTCCATAAACATCCAATCCCGGGTTGTTTCGCTGATTGGCTCATCCCCGGAAACCGACCCTGCCGTCAAGAGGCATTGTTTTAATCGTTGACACCATTTCAACAAGTCTCTCATGTTGATTTGCCGATCCGAGGCCCCACGACCCGCAGCGGCGAAGACTGGATCACGGCCAAGTTTCGCCAAACGGGCATAGACAGCCAAAATTCCAGGCACATATTTTCGTAGAGTAGGATAGGTCTTCAACATGACCTCCTCCATTTCTAGTTCTTCTAAAGGTTGGGTGTGCATTGACTGCCAGAATCGCATGCCAACGATAGACGGCAAGCTCTCTCGTCCGTTCATGCCGCGTGTGGTCCGCAGGGTTGCAAAGAGGCGAAAGGAGCTCGCTGCGCGAATTCTCTCTCCACGGCTAGGTATGAGGAGCTCCCTCCTCTCGATCAAAGGTAACAGAGTACTGAGAACTTCTGTCGGGGCTCGATCGAGGTCCTCAACAAGAACCCATCTTCCCTCCCTTACTGCGGTTGTCAAAACACCAGGCCGCCATTGGAAACTGCCTGGTTTCGAATCCGTCGAGTACAGCCCAATGAGCATTTTGGCGTCCGTTTGCTCATTCAAATGCAGGGTGACCATCTTGGAGTACATGCCAAGTTGCTTAGCCACCTCGTGGACGATGGATGTCTTTCCAGATCCAGGCAATCCATGGATAAGAATGGGGTCTGCACCTTGCAGCATTCGAGAGAACCGCTCGAGATTGGCCGTTGTGGTTGGCGTCAGAACCAAGCTTGACGTATTGTCGGTTGGGCCAACAGGACGTGGAAGTAAGACATCTCCATAAAGTGCGACGTAGGGTGTGAGGGTTTGAGGCAGGGCATCTATGTCAGTGTCCAATTCGCCGTTGGAGGACAATTGCTCACGGATGGAAATAACCCGTGTTACTCGTGAGTGCTCGTGCAATGTGAGGAAGCCGTAGTCGACGGCATCTCCATCCAGGTCCGCGACGAGAGCAGCATCCTTTCCAACATGACGTTCAATAAGCGCGTCTAGCTTATAGTCGGATGAATGAAGCAAATTACAGAAGATCCGAACTGCGACATATCGGATTGGCCTACTCTCATGAGTGAAGAGTGTCTGTGCGAATTCAGGTGAAATACAGCGCCCGAACATCTTCAAATCATAATTGATGAGCCTCCATAAAGCTACCAGATACTGAAGTGAAATGGCGTGGTCATATCGCTGAAGCACCGTTGCAGGGTCTTGGAGGTCAAGGTGTAAGGGGGGTAGATTTCCAGGTTCATCGGATGCCTGAGACGAGTGCTCCAGAAAGGTCGACAAATATGAAGCAAAAGGCAGAATTCTGGCTAAAGCTGAAATGATATTGAGTTTCCGTCTCTCATCTCCTGAACTGAGAATCCACCTTGCGCAGATATCTGAGGAAAGGGTCTCGAAATGAGAGAAAATCCGTTCTGTAAGTAGTGGGATGAGAGCGGCCTCTGAAACAGCATCGAGTACATTGGTGGCGGTTTGGTCTTTGATAATTTCTAAGATTTCGGCCGGCAGGTGATCCAAAACAGTCGCATCGCTTAGGAGCGACCTCCTCTGCCTCGAGACGTCAATGACCGCCATCCTGACGCTCGTAAGGCCGTTAATTGGTGCGTTTGTTGGGAAAAGTGTAGTTTTTTCCTCGAGTTTGCTCCATGCTCCATCGCAATGGGCAACTTTTTTTCTGGGGCCGTCGCCGATAAGATAAAGTGTTGTAAGTCGGTGTCGGCGCCACATTTCACCGACCCAATCACAGCGCAGCGAAGAACTAGTTTCGAAGACAGCTCGAAAAACTTGGGACATCATCTCCCTGATCCACGACGCACGCGATATCAAGGCGAGCCACCAAGACAATTCCTCCGTTGTCAGCCTCTCAACTCAGTCCCAGCCATGGCCATGTCGTGTCGGTACGCAGCTCAGAGCTGCGCTCGCCAGCTTCGATCCGCCCCAACTGCCAGAGCCTCCGCACAATTCCTCCGGGTATCTGCAACGACGAGACGATTTAACTCGACCGAAGCCGCCGCCACCAACCCCAAGATTCAGACCATTGTCGACCAGATTAGCCAATTGACTTTGTTGGAGACTGCCGACCTTGTTTCCAGCCTCAAGGTATGTTGTTGGGCAATATAGCAGGCCTGGTCTTGGACTTTTTTGCTGATTCGGGTTCTGGTCCCACTTTCACAGACCAAGCTGAACATCCCCGATCTGCCGGTTGGTGGTTTCGCTGCCGCACCTGCTGCCCCAGCCGCCGCCGAGGAGCCTGAGGAGGCCGCGCCCGCTGCTGCCGAGAAGCACCTGTTCACACTCAAGCTGCAAGCGTTCGACGCCGCCTCCAAGGCCAAGGTCATCAAGGAAATCAAGGCTATGCTCGGACTGAGCTTGGTTGACTCCAAGAAATTCGTGGAGAGCGCACCTAAGATGATGAAGGAGAACGTGCCCAAGGAGGATGCCGAGAAGATCATTGCAACTCTGAAGGAGATTGGCGCTACTGTCGTCATGGAGTAGAAGAGGAACGAACATAACCACGATCTGTCTCGCTGCTGGAATCCGCTAAAAAGGTGGACATGTGTAATAGATAGAGGGGTATATTCCATGTACAAAATATTTACAATGTACGAGTACTGAAAGAGAAAATTCCTCTTGTCTTACTTATGAAATGTGCTTTTTTTCTTCTTTGGCTCTCATAGACCGTTCACCTACTCCAGTTCCCCCAGCATCCCAAGCATCTTGAATACTACCAACTTTTGCCTGTAAACCGCCTCAAATGGGTATAAATGGAGGTACAGTCCAAACTCAACCACCTTAAATGACCAAACGCCTCTCCAATGCGACTGTTAATAATAACAAAAATTTGAAAACGCCCATAAACACTGCTTTATCTTGCTTTCCGTTGAGAATTCACCCCCGATGATCATTTTGGCCTTCGCGGTGACCACAGTTGAACACTTCCATCTCTTTCCCAAAATCATCAGCCTCTTCAGCCAATATCCTGTCGTCGTCCTCCCCATACTCGCTAGTCTCGTCCCACAGCTTATTCATTTCAGCGTCTCCGGACGCCGGGACAGCCCAGATATGCTCCCGCTCTCTCTTGTGGCGCTCACGGTCCTCCTCAATACGCTGCTCAATCTGCCGTTTGTCCAGACGGTGGTGAGTCGGACCGCGGCGGTTCTGCTTGGCAGAGGTCTCTGACTGGTGGGCGTCCGGCATCTCGACGTCCCCATTTGGCGAGGCCATGTCAAGGTCGTCGGCAGTCGTCTCACGTTCCTTGATGACCTCCTCAATCTGCGTGACGGCCTGGACCTCCAAATGGCCCTTCCCAAGTAACGCTTGTAAGACCTATAAATGATGATGTAAGATGTCTAGTTCAAACAATCCACAGGACAGGGCCATAATGTACCTTGCGTACTACTTTGACATTTGCAGCACCTGAGCCGTCATCTGGGGCGACTGCATCAACCACACGGATGATGTCCCTCTGCATCATGCGGATATAGTCAGAATGGCCATCCTTGTGGGCGGCATCCAGGAAGTGCTCAATAAAATACATTATATTTGCACGAGTGTTCATGTTATTCTATCCACGGGCCATCAGCAAGGGTGCGAGCAGAGTTTGCGACACACAGAAAAACTCACCCGCTCAACCTGCTCCAGGATACACGAGTGCAGGTCCTCGTCCATGTCTTTGTATTTGAGCGCATACTGGGCAGCCTTCTGCGCTGATGCTATGGACGCATTGAGATGCTGGAGCTGGGAGGTGAACCTCATGCGAACCTCAAAGGGGTCGGCCATGACGAGAGCGATAGCAGCACCGAAACCAGCAAAGGGCCGTTTAGCAGCTTGCTGCCAGGGGCAGGGCGGGAGGTCGACGGCGCGCACGCAGGTCTTGCATGTACGTCTTGACAAGCTGCTGGAAAAGGGCAAGGGGTGCAGGGCCTCGGATAACTTCCGTGAGGGTGTCAGCCTGAAGGCTTTGTTGATGTTGACGGCGTCCCTGTCTAGTGGGAATGGATCTGAAATCGGCGACGCCGTTCACTGATCGCTCGCGTTGCGCTGAGAAAGATGATGCCAGCCCACCCTCCCGCAGTGCCGCCGTGCCGGGGGAGCAATGTGATAGGCGCCCTGTGTTTTACTTATTTCGCATTACGGGGCGTCGGGCCCTGCTGTGCTACTGGAGCAATACCCGGCGCAGTACCTGCGAGGCTACCTGGGGGTGCCTGAGGCGCTGTACCACCACTCCGTCCGTGCCTGGCTCGCGGCGATGCTTCCAGCTGCCGGCCTCGACTGGGGCCCAATCTACGGCGCTTTGTGCCTGAATCAGGTACCAACGAGGTATTCGATTCGTACATCTGCTGCTGCCCTTGCCTTACCATGCCACTAGTCATAAATAACAGGTCGTAATTACAGCCACGAGAAGGAATCGGGTCTGGCCCAAATAGCAACAGATCGTCTCCTGGTCCGAGCGATCTGGCTGATTGCCTGGATACGTGGTGCGGCTGCGTTTCGCATCCTCGCTTTGATCCCGTCCGTGGCTTCGTGGCTGGCTAGTCAGATATCTCTGCGCCCAGCTGAGGTAAATAAATAAATATCTCGCTGGGTCTTAATACCCTTAGTCTGCCTCTACTTCGCTTTTGCTTGAACTTACCTCGCTCGCCTCATTTCGTCTCGTCCCGTCCCGCTGGCACTTGTTCCTATTGGGGCTATCCATCCCTATAGCAAAAAAAAATCACCTGTTTTTTGCGACTTTGTTCACTCTGGTTGCCTCACAATTCTCCGGGAAGCCGTTTCTTAAAATCAAAAGCTTGTCTGCTATCATCGTTAAAGATCATCTTTATCCTCCTTCTTCCACAGTTCCAAGCCAGACCTTCCCAGGGGCATCATAGAGAGCCACTTTTTGAACCTCCCAAGTGTTCAACCTTCCATCACTACACCCTTATTCAATCAAGCAGACTCCTTTTTCTAGTTTCCAGATGCCCAAAAAGCAGCCTTCTACCCAATCTCTGAATTCACATTTCACAATGTCTTCAACAACGAGCAGCTCTCTCGCTCTCACCCACCATGGCTCTGCCCAACGGCAGGACTTCACCATGTCCGTTTTAGGCTGCGGTATGTCCCTTGCATGCATGAAAACTGGAAATGCTACCCTAGTGCTGGAATTGGAAAGAATCAATCACTAACATGCAGTGTCTAGGTGACATGGGCATCGCCATCCTTAATGGAATCCTCACCTCGCTAGCTGAGCTCCAGGGCCCCAAGCCTCTGCAGACCTCTGGCACGGCCACTCCCGCCGAGGAGATCCCAGAGAGGCTCCCATCTCGGTTCTTCGCCTGCGTCCGGTCCCCTGAGACCGCCAAGCGGGTCAAGAGCGCGCTGTGGGAGCACTCCTCCATCCTCAAGGTTGTCAGGAACGAGAACATCCAGTGCGTCCAGCAGTCCGAGGTCATCCTCCTGGCCTGCCAGGAGAGCAAGGTCAGAAGCATCCTCGGCGAACCTGGCATGGCAAAGGCCCTGCATGGAAAACTCCTCATCAGCGTTTGCGCCGGCGTCACGGTAGAACAGCTCGAGGAGGCACTCCACGGTGCCGTCCCGTCCAAGGATCCCTCCGAGGACGGACGCTGCCGCATTGTCCGCGCTATGTGCAACACCGCCGCCCTCATCCGCGAGTCCATGACCGTTGTCGCTTCGACCGAGCCTCCTCTGCCTTCAGAGACTGAGTGCCTAGTCACCTGGATCTTCAGGAGAATCGGTGATGTCGTCTACCTCCCTGCCGAGAACATGGATGCATCCACAGCCCTCTGTGGCTCCGGACCTGCGTTCTTTGCTCTCATGCTGGAGGGCGCCATTGACGGAGCCGTGGCTATGGGGCTGCCCCGTCCCCAAGCCATCAGAATGGCCACACAGGCCATGAGGGGAATGACCGGTTTGGTCCAGAACGGCGAACACCCTGCGCTCCTCCGTGAGAGCATCAGCACTCCTGGCGGGTGCACCATCGGGGGTGTGCTGGCCCTGGAAGAAGCTGCTGTTCGTGGCACCGTCGCCAAGGCGGTGCGTGAAGCCACTGTTGTTGCCAGCCAGCTGGGTCACGGCGTGCAGAATGTCAATGGAACAAGGCATTCGTAATAGATGCGAGTAACTGCCAGGTGGTAATGACAGACTTCAAGTTCTTGGACGACTCTTTCCAACCCACCTGCACATTTGTATTTGCTTGATCTTTTTATTCTTGTCTGTTAGGAGAGCGACGCATGTGATATGCCAAAAGAAGCAACGAGTGATATGGAATCATAGCCTAGGCGTCGAGATATCTTCGTGGCATTTTACACAATTATGATGGGAATGTAGAATAAATGTACAACACATAATAAATTTTTCTTTCGCAACGCCTAATGCTAAACTGAATCCCTAAAAAAGTACATTCTTGTTTATTACACAATTCTTTGATTACTGTTTAATCACTGCATGACTTGGCGCCATCAGTTCTTTGCCTTCTTGCTTGGTGCCTCGTTCCCATCCTCCTCAGGCTTGCGCTTAGCGCTTGCTGGCTTGGATCGCTTGCTTGCCCGCTCATACAGGGCCAGGATTCTTGAATTTGCCAGTTCGACTCCGCCCAAAACCTCCTCAAGCTTCTCAATTCTCTCTTCAGGCTCCAGCTGCGATAGCGCATCACGGTTGTGGCGATACAGGCGCTGCTTGGCGATCAGTTGCCAAATCTTTTGCTGATGCTTGTCCTTGGCCGTTGGAACTGGTACATCCTTATCCAGGTCCATGGAAGGTCTCACAGAGTCAGGCAGCTGTGACATGAGATGCATCTCCAACACCCTGCTGAACTGCCTAGGTGCAATCTTGGCGTTGCGCTGGATCTCCTCGACCTTGTCTCCTCCCACAATGAGCGAAGGAATAGTGGCAGATTTGGGAATAGCAAGATCAGTATTGACACGGAGGTTATTGAACTCAGGCAGAGTTCGCAAATACTCCATATCACACACATCACGCAAATCGTCAAACGCCTCATTGGGGTCCTCCACAGTAAACTCCTGGGTCTGTGCGTGCTTATGGTAGTGCTGGAAGATGGACTTGTAAAGGTGTGCGCCACACCCTTTGCCTTGGAACGGTGGCAAGATCAAAAATTGAGATAGTCGTGTTCGGCATGGCAGTTGGCTCAAGTCGAGATCTCCAGCAGGCAATTCCCATTTGTCACTCGGCGATGCCGGGGGTGTTGGCTGCTGGAACCAATAGAAACGATAGATGGTGGAATATCCAACGAAGACATAGGAGCTCTTTCCGGGGTCCAACTCAGACTCGTCTTTTCTGTATAAGAAAAAGAGTGTCCATCGATCCGCATCCGAAAGATCAAGCTCTGTAGAATCGGAATCGGGCTTCTGGCCGATGTAAGATCCACCTTCAATGAAGAGGGGAATCAGAATCTGGACCCGGGTGTTGAGCTGTTTCACTGCCGGGTCGGCGAGGTTTCCCTTCCAGATCTCGTACTTTCCATCGGGTCCATCGAAAGTATCATGCAAGGTGCCTGGAGGGGTCCAGTCGTTGGAAAGCTGCTTAGAGCCGTTCTCAAAGTCCGATTCCTTTACAAAAGCGACTTTGCATCAACGAGTTAGATGGAGTTATGATCAACGCATAGTTGAGGTTGAGATGTCACCAACCTTTTGGCAGATGGTTGCCTTCTTGGAGGATGCCGACGATATCATCTGGCTCAGCATCACCTTGAGGCTTGAATACCTTGGTATGTGATACTTTGAGGTGTGGTCTCATGTCATTGGCACGATAGCGTAGGTTGATCTTGAGGCCCTTGTATCCGAAGATCTTTTCCTCTTCGCCGAAGATGGGGTATGTGAATCTCGGGTTGAAGGTCGAAATCGATTGAAGACCAGACTTTGTCGGCGCGACGAGACTAATGTTCAAAGCATCATTAGAGCTCGTGATCCCTATATTCTGCGTCAGCCAGACATTCATGGAAGCTGTTCTGAGACTGCAAACTCACAGTCTTCCAGATTGGGAAGAGCCGCCATCTTGGAAATAAGCTGGTATGCCAATAGGCGCACCGCAAATAAATAAGTCAAGAGAGGGTATCGAAATAGATAAATGGAAGATAAATTAGAGAAGAGTCTGATGGAAGATGCGCCGTTGGCAGAGCTGCTACCTTCAGCCACCAAAAGTCGATGCGACAAGAGGAAGAGTTACGTCTGCTGCAGGCGCGTCGAGGCGCGATTGATTCACTTTACGCGCAGTGGCAGCCCCAGAAATACGGAAGCCACAGGCGGCGTGCTCAGGGACCCGCTACCCTGCAGGCTACAGGTTAGCTCAAAGTTTGCAGCCTAAAAGTAGGACATGCTGCAACAGGTTAGAACAGCGAAAAGAAGCAATTGGCATGTCCCGAGCCGCGCTAGACCACTCCTGACAAATGACGTTGAGCGACCTGCCCGAAAGTCCGTGCTGAATTGCGGACACTGCGGACCAACCCCTGGTGCTCCAACTCAAAATGCTTCCTAGGCTGCTGCCGGGCGCACTCTTCTCTCTTTGATCAACCAACTACGGCTCGAATGGAGTTGCTTTCGAGATCGCCAACATGCTAGACATAGCGAACAAAGCCTCACCGGTCGGCTCGACGGTCTTCTCGGTCATCGCCCTCGTCGTCATCTCTCTCGTCGTTTTAGCCATCTTGCGATTCTACCTCCCCTTGCGCACGACTCCCGCCCACTACCTCGTCCCCATCTTCTTCGCACTATGGCTCCCTTCGGTCGTTGTTATCCTGGTCCCCATCGATCTTGCCTCGAGCGCTAGAACCGACGATGAGGCTACCCGGGGAATATGGCTTCCCGAGCGGGTGGTCGTGGTGGCTTGGAGGATCACTTACTGGCTGACTTTTGTTCTCACATGGTACGTACGATCCAGATGCGTCTCCCGCCTTGTCGCATCTCTTTTTTCCTATTTGGCGCTCATTCATTTTCGGCAGGGCCCTTCTCCCCATACTTGGCGAATACTCTGACGCCGGATATCGCGAACCTATCGAGAGATTACGCTACTCGGTCCGCCAAAATGCTCAGTTCATGGCCATCTCCCTTGGGCTCGGTATTGTTGGGTTCATTTACATCCTGATCTCATACGAGGTCAAACTATCGCGCGCGAAGGACGTGACCATGGCGTTGGCCTACTGTTGGGGTTTGGCGCTCGCCATTTATCTCATGGGTCACGGGCTCGTTTCCATCCCACGTCGGCTGATCCGCAACGCCAGCGTCACCGGAAGATTGCGCCGCCTACAGACCAAGGCACCTAAAGTGTACGAACGAATGGAGGATTCCCTAGTCAGTCTTGAAGAGGTAGAATACCAGGTTTCCGAACTCATCCGGCGCAAAACGGGGAGCGCCTTGGAATTTCAAGACTGGATCGAAGAGTTGCAGGAGATGGCGAATATCGGCGAGAGTCAGTCCCGACCCGGAACCACCGACCCCAACTCACGGGTAATACCAACTGTCATCACGGATAAATTCCTTGCCAGCTTGACGCGGAAGCTCGTCAACGCACGCCATACCCGATCTCGATATTCGGACGAGTGGGCGCAGCTCATACAAGAAGCACACGAAGCACAAGCGATCATCGACTCGGCAGCCTCAAAGAAGCTGGATTTTGGTGATGCCGACCCCCACGCAGGCTGGTGGAGCAGAACTAAGTTCCTTACCCCTTATACCAGATATCTGCTATATTTCCAGATCCTGCCGGTCGCAAACTTCTTGCTCGGGGTTCTATGCGCGGTGGCTTCCGCTTCGATCGTGTGGTCCGAAGTTATCAAGGTCGCTGCACCCAACCTATCACTCATTCGTCTAACTGTTGTCCACCACTGGAGCCAAGGCAGAGCCGAAGTTGGCTTCGCTGGACAAACAATCTCGACATTCTGGGTATGCTACATGTTTGCCGCAGCGCTCACGTCGGTCACAGAGGTGCGAGTGTGGCGTGGAAGAGCTCTAGTGAAGCGCAATACAGCCTACGAGTCTGCCTTCTGGTACGCAATGCTGGTAGCCAGGCTCAGCGTCCCCCTTTCCTACAATTTCGTCACCTTCCTATCCCCAGATGTATACAAGAAGACAATCTTCTTCAAGTTCCTAGGACAGTCCATTGTCTTAACCGATATTGGTCGCTGGTTCGATAGACTCTTCCCAGCCTTCATCTTAGTCCCGGTTCTCGCCACCATTTTTGGTCTCTATAAGAAAGTAAAGCGTATTTTCGTCGGCCTGGACGTCATCGAAGACGAGGATGAAAATCCCACGGGGTATGGAACGGGTTCGTGGCGGGAGGGTCGTGATCTCATTGACCGGGAGCTCCGTGGGAACTCTCTCCTCCGTCGACGAGACGACGGCTTCTCAAGACTGTCAACCACGGCTGCTGGCGGCACAGCAGGCCGATCCGCGCCAGTTCTTTCTATCCCAGCGGCCAGGAATGCAGCGACCTCCCCTTCGCCCTCGCGAGCTGCGTCCAACGCCAATCGCGCAGGCCCCTCTTCATCATCCCGGGGTCGCGTAATTGATGAGCCGGAAGATGAGAACATCTTCTCCATCATCGGGCATCGCATGAAGAACACGATGGACACCATCGAGACTCCCAAGTGGATGCAGGGCTTTGGTCAGGGGATAAAGACCCCCAAGTGGATGGGCGGGGCCGAGGATGGCGAGCAATCGCAGGGTGCAGAGCGCGGACGCAGCAGCTCGGATATTAGAAGATGGTTTGGGGGCGATGGACATATTCGCTTATAGCACTAATTTCTAAATCATGGGTTGTCTCTCCCATTGCTTTGTTTTGGATGTTCAGCAGTTCTCATATTTGGCGCAAAATGGAATCATCAGGTTGAGCCTGTGTTATAGGATATCCTAAATAGAGCATATATCAGGTATTAATTGTCAAAGACTATAGAAGTATAATTCCGTAAACGATATATCCTCTTTTTGGTCATTGCCATTGGTAACAAAAGGTTTGCCAAATTCAGCCAATATGTGTATTCCCGAGACCTGTTTTTTCTCTCAGTCTTTTTTTCTTTTGTTGCGTTCATTCATTGCTTCATCAGTCATGAAGAAAAAAAAAAAAAAAAAAAAAAAAAAAAACATCTGGAATCCAAACTGCCCGAACATCACGAAAAACACAAGCACCAAACTCGTGTGGCGTCGAACAAGTCACTCCTAGGCCTTCACCGGCTGCGTCGACGAGTGCCACGTATTCGCCTTGCTCATGGTCCTCTTCCTCAGATGGAACATGATGTCCCTCTCCATGTCCTCAATGTTCTTCTCCAGGAGCGCGTCCTCCTCGGCGTGCTGGGCCTCGCGGCGGCGGTCGACGTACAGCCAGAGCACCACGATGATCACGGTTATGGGCACGGTCACCGCAAAGTAAATCCACAGCTCGACTGATACCGGCTCCGCGTCTATTTCAGTCCAGTTAGCACCATCGATAAAAGGGGGCGGTGGTGTTTCTGTTCTACAAAGGAGCTGGAAAACAAACCTGCTTCAAAGTTGAAGAACGACATCCCAAAGACAGAGGCCAAGTACGTTCCCGGCAAGAACAGCGCACCAAGAAGCGACAGTGTCTTCATCGCCGTGCTGTCTCTCTTGCTCGCGTGGGCAATTCGTCTCTGCTCTCCAGCGATTTCAAGGTTTAGTCGGGCCTCGCGCTGGGACATAATGTTGTAAAGCTAAATTGAGAGACAGAGTTAGCTTGGAAATCATCACGCCTAGGAGTGGAATAAGTTTGAGGGACGACCTACCGCTTCTCTTTGGACCTTCAACCTCTCCAGCGTGGTGTGGATGTAATTCTCCAGTCCCTTGAGCTTCGCCTTGTAGAAATCAATTCTCGACATCATGTTCTTGTGCAGCTTCCGCAGAGCCTTCCTCTCGGCCCTCGTGGCATCGCTCAGCCTCTCCTCGTCAATATATGCCCACTTGCCCCAGAAGCTCGCCAGTGCCTTGTCGATCTCCCTGGCGACACCTTCATACGCCTGCGGCCGCTTCCACATAACGTGGCTGTGGCACTCGACGAGGTCTCGACTCAAGCCGTCAATCTCCAGCAGCCCATCTTGAAAGTACATCTCGGACTCCTCGATCTCGTTGCGCAAGCTGACGGCGTTCTCCAGGCGACGCAGCCAGTCGCGCGCATCACGCTGCTTCTGGTCATTCGTGGGGGACAGATCATAAGAGAACAGGATGATCGGGAGCAACATAGGATGGCCAACCTGGCGGGTGCTGGCCTTGAGGTGCTCGAGGGCCTGCACGACCTCAGAGCTCGACGTGCCCTTGATGAAGCCCGAGGTGATGTTTGTGGTGAAGGAGTAGGAGAGCATCATCTCCCATCCGCGAGTCCTGCCCTTCTTGCGGACATCGGACTTGCGCTGCACCAGATCTATGACGGAAAATTCAGTACTGATTCTTGCATGGCATGATCCCATCACCATGGAGCGGGCAATTGCTTACGCATGTGAGGATCGTCATCATCGTAATCCTGAGCACTCCAGAAGAAAGGGCCTACCACCGACGTGGTCTCGATTGACCTCATGGGGAGGCTGAAGCCCTGCACCATGCTCCTATAGCTCTCTTTGGGCAAAGATATGACCTTTGGCATGAAGGTGTCTGGATGCTTGGCGTTCTGCTGTACGCTATCGGATCACAGGTTAGACCATACAACGAGCGCCGGCCTGCCATGGCGGTGAAGATGATACGCTGTTCGTGTACTTACATCAGACGCATCCCGCTCAACAGCTGCGTATCCCAGCCATTTTCCACCTCTGGCGCGGTGAACACTCCCTTTCCCATCAAGTTAGCTACGCTCACGAAGATGAGACCATGGAGCACACACGAAGAACCTACCCGTCGATATACGAAATTGTCAAACTCATCAAGCGGTAATACATGGTCCTCGCATGAATTGTATAAAGAATTCTGCCCTGTAATCAGTAACGGCAATCGATTCAGATCCTCCGGCACATGCCATCTTCTGGTGGTGGGGGCCATCTTGACAGGCGTCGCCGCCCACTTACCGAGTAGTTGAAGATCTCGACATATCTCGTCGCTTCAGATACCTCACGACAGTCAGAAAGGAATTGCTCAAACATATACTCCTCCATATTGTCTGCCGCGCTCTGGCCAGTCGGAATAACTCAAAGGCCAAGGTGAGCTGGGGAGAGGCGGTGCGCTGCAATGCAGTGCGGCATTGGGTGTATTTCTTTGCAGGTAGGTAAAGGAAGACACTGAGACAAGGGGATCGGACCAGCCAGTCTAATGCAGGCAGAGACCGGGGTGTCACCAACAAGGGAGAGATTGGCTGAGTGACATTCCCGCTCATTTGCTGCACCACGCTGGATGTGGGGGGTCATTGGTCCGTATCCGCGAATTAAACCGACATTACTTCCATGGGGTATCCTGCCTTTGGGTCAGGGAAGACTGGACGTGCAAAAGGAGCTTGATGGCAGGTGGTTCTTTGTTTGAGGTAGTTCAAGGGCCGAAATAGAGAGTTTCGCTATACTGGTTATTCAACAAGATAGGAAACCGCAAAATACAGATATTCATAATTAACTGCTTCCTGCGGACATATTGATTCTGACGGCGGTGGGTTCTGGGCGGCACAAAGTCTAGCTTCGCTGCCTACGTGAAGTCAATCCATCTGACCTCGCACCGAGTATCGAGGGTGTATGTTCTTAGGGCTTTTCGCGATCATCACTATTTAATCACTCCGTGAACGCGAACCATGGGCTACTGAATTCCACCTATTCCCTCCCACTCACCACCGAGCAATCGTTCTTTTCATGGACAGGCAGATGCAAGTCATGCCTCAGCTAGCGAGATCACGCCCAGGTGATACTGAACTCAAATTTAGGCAGAGCAGAACCGCACGTTTGGTGTTTTTGTGTTTTTTTTTCCCATTTAAACCTAAAGACTTTAATTAACACACACGCAATTCGGCCGTTGACTTTTAGACTGTTGCAAAGGTGTACGTGCATCCTCAAAATTCTGTAAAGAGGTGTCCATAACTAGTGGAAAAGGTTAGCCACATGTCTAGCTGTTGCCTTCACCCAGATCAGACAAGCGGGTTCGTTGGTTCGTTTATAGACTTACTCATCGTTTCCACTTGTTGCGCCATACTTCTCCGTCTCTTCAGGGTATTTGTCGAATTGGCTGGCATCTCCAGCCCCTGCCTTGACTGGTGGCGTATATGGAGCATCAATATCCTTGCGAGCAAGTCTGTCCCAAGTGACCTCAGCGAACCAAGGGTGGTTCTTCACATCAGCAGGTCCTCCGTAAAGGTTACCCAATCTCTTGGTAAGGTCGGGCGTGATCAGTTTCTCAAGGAGGTCGTGGGCCTCAGGGACGAGGTATGCCGGATACTTGATCTTTCCCTTGAGGATGTTTTCGTAGATGCGCATTGGCGAACCACTATCCCAGAATGGCGTGTAGCCACAGAGCATCTCGTATATCAAAATACCAAGAGACCACCTATCAGAAGAATCCCAAGGTCAGTAAAGAGAGTATGAGACCCATCATGCTAATTCCGTATGAGCGACTCACCAGTCTACAGATTTGTTGTAGCCCTTGTTAGAGACTACTTCAGGCGCGAGATAGTCCGGAGTACCGCAAAGCGTCCATGTCTTGTCCGGTACTTTCTTCGCAAAGCCAAAGTCGGTGATCTTAAGATGCCCGTGTCGGTCGAGTAATAGGTTTTCAGGCTTCAGATCTCTGTAAATGATGTTCTTGGAGTGAAGGTACTCCAGAGCCAGTGTAACTTCAGCGGCGTAGAATTTGGCGACCGGATTTGGGAATCGCTACGACAGGAGCAATCAATCTGTTAGTATTGAAGTCCAAGCGGCCATCAGGCAAGCAGATAAGATCAAAGCTCAAGCAATTGCAAGTGAAACAACAACCAAAGTACCGAGTCAAAAAAATAACCGTGGAGTGTAAACCAAGGAGCGGTGTATCAAGTAACGACTTACCCCAGACTTTCGCAGCAATGAGAAGAGCTCGCCACCTTCAACAAAGTCCATGACCATATACAAGTTCCTGATGTCCTGGAAGGTTCCCCAAAGAGTGATCAGGAAAGGATGCTTGACGTCGCTCAGCATGCGGCGTTCGTCATTGGTGTGCTCGACCTGTTTCATTTTGACGACCTGGGCTTTCTTTAACACCTTAATAGCATAAAAGCGCTGGTTATGCTTGGACTGAACCAAGTGCACTCGCCCGAAGCTACCGGTGCCGAGGGTCCTCTGGATCTCAAAGTCGCCCAGCGAATACTTGCCCTTGGTGACACGGGGCTGCGTGGATTGAGCCTGCGCATTCTGATATTGGGCTTGCTGGGTCTGATGTTCATTCTGATGTTGGGGCTGTGATACTTGGGGCGGCTGCTGCTGCTGTACTGGTTGCTGTTGAGGCTGCGCCTGCTGTTGATGTGGCTGCGGTGAGGGTTGCGATTGGTGTGCCGGGGTCGGCGTATCGACTTGCATCGGTGTCGCCATGTTCTCGGGCGGTGATAGAGGTTGTGCGGCTTGGTGTTGTGGGTGCTGGAGGTTAGGGTCGGTGCCGGGACTGACACTGAGGAGGGGCGCGGCGATGGGCTGCAGCCCTAGTGAGGTAGGACTGGCGACAGTTGAGGAATTGAGGTTCTGCTGGTCGGCGTGGGAAGCCCCGTCATGCTGCTGGGGAGGATTGACTAGGGTATTAAGGGAAGGGCTGGGGATGGTGGTTTGCGTCTGCGAGTCGTTGGACGGCTTTTGGCCAGCACCGTTGATGGTGGTAGCTGTGGCGGGAGTCGCCGAGCTTGCGCCTGCACCAGATGTGTTAGCCAGTGTCGATTGCACCTGCCGGGGCTGCACAGGGCGAGCCGCACCTTGATCCTGAGGCTGTTGCTGCTGCTGCTGAGGAGGAGAAGGGTTGATGGCGGGGGGGTTGCTCTGGGCGTTTTGATCCTCTCCAGCCCCGCCAGACGCCGGCGCCTGCCGTAATGCAGCCGATTGACCAAGCGGCACTGCTCCAGACGATGGTTGCGGCCGGTCTGCGGAGGCCAATGGAGCTTGGGGCTGCTTCGGGTGGAGGTGGGAAATGAGGGAATCAGCAGCCTTGGACGATGCCGACGATGTGGTCTGGGTGACAGGGCTTGCCAGGTTGGAGGTGGTGGAGGTTGAGTGATCGGAGTGGCCCTCCTTCGTCCACTTCTTGAGGAATCCAAAGCCAGGCATTGGGATGGACGAAAGCGGCAGTGGCACCTCCGGCTGGATACCTAGTACCAAGTATGGACCTACTAACCTATTGTTAGGTGCTACGTAGCCCCAAACCAAAACCAAGCACGGTGACGGATAGGCGAAGAGCTAGGAGGCAAGGTGGAGATGATGAGGTGCGCGGCAGGCGGCAGTCAGTGGAGCGCAGAGCACGCTTGAGACTGTCACCGCAATTGGCCCAGCTGTGAAGAACCAGGTCGCAGGGGATACGGAGATGGAAGTGCAAGGTAGGCAGACAGGGAGGGGGAGGCAGGAGGGCAGGAGGATGGTAACAGGAGATGTGGTGGGATGGGTGATGGGCAATGGGCAATGGGTAAGAATGCGGTTGGGAGAGCTTTGAAGCTAACGGACGAAGATCATACTGTACCTTGTGGAGGTCCCAAAGACAGCTCTAAACTCTGGTGAGCGCGGCGTCGTTCCTCGCCCACTCCCGCTCAGGCGTCTGGCTGGGGATGTCGACGGTGCTGCTCCTGCGGCTTCAGCGAAAAGGCCCGCACTTCGCGGGGTCGAGTCCGAGGCAGCGGTTGGCGATGGCAATCAATCAATGCGACCCAAGGCGGCGGCAGCACCCCTCTTGAAATTCGATCCAATGGCAGGCAAAGACCGGCGTCAGTGTGACCAGATGATCGGGAAAGGCGTCAGTTTCGGCTGTGGGCTGTGTCACTCGCAGGATGGATTCTGCTCATGCAATTCGTTCATTTATCAAGGACGGAGGGAAGCACGTAGCCGAAGAAGAGAGATATGTTGCGAAATATCCCGCCGATCGGGCTCTGTTAAACCACTGCTATGTAGGCTACGTCTTCCAGCTATCTACCTACCTACCTCCCTGGGAATGCATCCATTGGACGGAAAGGTCTTTGCACACTGTACCCAGACGCATCTGGCGCCCGCGATCGCCGCCGGGTCAAGGAGACGCGAGCGATGGAGGGTTTGGTTGGTTGGCTCATTGGCTGACTTGCAGCATTGAGTTTCTCCCTTTCCCCCTTCCAGCTCGACTAGCCCTCTTGGTCCGGATTCATCAGCAAAGAGGAGTGATTTAGCAAACGGCGTACATACGTCACGTCAGCGGCAGAGTTTGTAGAGGTGATGCATGCGGAGAGACTTCGAGTTATCATTTGTTTCAGGCTCAGGACCAAGACAGCCACTTGGTCCAGCAACTGCCCAAGCCTTGACTGTTCCAAAAAGACCCGGATCCGACTTCCCCTCGGATGACATAATCGAGGACGATCGTTTCAACGCTCAAACTGGAAGGATTGCAGTCTTCAGGTCTATCCCAATACATGCTCCTATCTACAGCCCTTCGCACCTCTTCCCGCTCGCTACCTCAATCACAGCATTGTCGAGTTGACACGAGCTTGCGAATCCAAGCTTTCAATTGCATTCCGCATGCCATCGGGATGTACTTATAGGACCCCATCAAGCATTAATGAGCTTCAGGTGGGGGACCTGATTGCGGAGTAACCCCAGTCGCGACCAATTTAGTAACCTCTCTAACCCCTTCGCGGTGGCGGCACCTATTGACATTCTCTGTGTTTAACCTTGGCTGGAACACCTACTGATTTAGTCGCATCCAGTAGCTGGCAACAACTCTTGACCATGGATACCATCCAGGTGCCGGAAGGTTTCCTAAGCTGCGCCGCTTTTAAATTGAGCTGCGATCGGGTGTAGAACAGCCAAGTCCGCAGATTCGATGGCATTCAGATCATGCTGTCCATCTCCCAAAGATCCACCGGACAAATCTACGCCTCGCTCTGATATTGCTAGAAGTCATAAAGACTTGCATTGGCCCTATGAGCAATTAGCTTCGTGCTGATGTGCTATCAATGTGCGTGGCATTTCCTATCAACACGACCGTAGGAAGGGTGAGGTTAAAGTTTACAAGGCAGGGCAGCATCTAGGTATGCAAATAGCTAAGCCACCAAGTCTAGGTAAGAAAGAACACATGAAAGCAAGTGTTGGCGTAGAAATCTATCCTATAATACTCTGACAGCCTCATAATAAATCAAGTCGAATGTGCAGGAGGGATGATAGGCCATTGAGACAAAAAGACCAAACTTTTCTTTATGAAACGGTACTTGGGTTCACAGACTTGTAATCATTTTAAAAAAAAATTGCGAAAGGGAGGAAGGTAGGCAGGGGAGAGATTAACTAAGTGCTAAGGTAGTAAGAAATGGACACCAAATCAACCTCAAACAAGTATGACGGAATAGTTACCCTACCTCTTTCACCTGGTTAAGTGATCAGTCATATGCGCCCGCGCGAGTTATTCTCATCTTACCGCAAGCCAATGCAGTCTCTCAGCCCTCCAGACAACATCTGACCAGATGTCCCGTGTCCCAGATCTACGAATGATTCTACTTCAATGATCCGGCATTAGACCGCCGATGCTCCACGGACTTCAACAAGTGAAAAAAGAACAACTATAATGTCATGTTGTCTGCACAGGGCATCTTTTTAGTTACAATTCCCAACCAACCAACTGTTCGATAACCCAAGAACACGGCCATAGGATGACCAAATACACAATGAAATGCCCCATAGCCCGTCCATGCAACCAATTCGCGCGACTCCTGGCCATTTCTCGAAAGACATCTCATTACCTACACCTACACCTACACCAACATCGCGACGCGGATCGTGCCCCCCTCCAGACCTCCCGTTGAGTAGGGATATAGAGATAAGTGCTGCACCCTCTCAGATTCCACGATGCGCGAAAACTTTAGAAACGGGTCTTGGTCTTGGTGCGGTACGCAGTATACCCTACGTAGGCACCGCCAACAAGCAGGAAGAAGATCAGGATCTTGGCGAAGAACCAGCCCCAGCTGCCACCCTGCTTGGGAGGGGTCACCCTGTTCTTGTTGCGCCCCTTTCCACCAGGAGACTTGCTGCTGCCAGCAGTGCTGGGGCTCATGTACAGGTTCTTGGCCTTGACAGAAATGATGTCGTGGTTGTCGCTGAGCTCGCCAGTCTCAGCGCTGAAGCCAAGGTAGGCAATGTTGGGGATGGCAGGGGGCGTTTCGATGTCGAAGCAGGTCATCCAGTCAGTCTCCTTCTTGTATTGCAGCTCCAACTTCAGCTGCTTTTCCTGGAAATACGTCAAGCGCATCTTGGTCGGGATGCTGGAATGGCGGATTCCACGGGCCGAACATCCAGCCAGCTCCGTGTTCTTGCCATCGTTGCCCTTGTCGTAGGGGGTTTGGCCATCACCGAACATGGCCATGACATAGGGGAACACGACACCAGGGCGGTTGTTCTTGTACGTATCTACAAAGATACCAAGACCCTCGAAGTTGTCGGTGTGGCCAAAGACATCGCCCTGTTGTCCTCGCTGGCGGGTAATCCACATGGCGAAGCCATCACCGTATAGCTGGTGCTTTCCGGAGATCTTGAACTCGACCTCGACCTCCCAGTTGGTAGCGGTAAGCGGTACGCGCGAAAACAGCCAGCCGGCTTGCGAAGGGGCATCGGTGGTCAGGCGGATATATCTGTCCCAAACAACGTCGTTAGTCCCCTGCTGGTCTAAGAGTGCCGATCATTCAATGGGTGAGAAGAGAGCACGTACGAGTCTGTGCGGACAATAGTATCTCCTCCAAAGTCGAACCATCGACTCTGCATATCATTGTCGAGGTATGGCTACCGAATACACATGTTAATCGCACTCGCCCTCCCTGAATTGTGACAGAATGCTCGGCTCGTGACCAACCTGAACGAGTGTGTGCGTCCTCAACTATACGTGCGATCCTTGTTAGTTTCCAATGATTGCTTAACAACCTCAATGGCCAATGGGTCTATACGAACCGAAACGCTCTTGATCTCTCCCTCCTCGTCGGCGGCGCTGGCAGTCCAGGCGAACGCCGCGAAGAGTAGTGTGGACAGGGATGAGAGCCGCATGATGGCGTAGTTGGCCCGGCTCGAAGGCCTACAGCGCAAACAGATTCTCGGGCTTTTCGATTCGTAACTCGCCCGTATCCCTACAGACAGGCAGCCGCTCGGATGAGTTGTTGGCTCGGGGTGGGTGATTGTGTCGGCAGACGGTTGACTGACCCTTCAAAAAGGTACAGATCAAGCTAGACACACAGCTGTCCTCTTTCTCCTTAGTTGAAGTATCAAAGTTCCCTGATTTAAAACGGGGCGCGCCACAGAAACCCGGGGCGTTCATTCCAAAACAGGACAGTTTCCACACCTGTTGTGGCGCTTCCCTGGTTCTTCAGCCACAGGTCCTCGCAGGGGATCCCAAAAAGCTTTTTTTTCGACATCGTCATCATACTATATCTAACCCGCAACAACTGCCGGTATACTTATAAAACCAATTCAATCATGGACTCCAAGGCTGTTAAGGATGCTGTCTTCCAGCAAGTCGTCGCCGAATCCAACCTGGCTAATGCTCGAGTCCTCATCGAGGTTTGATTCCCCATACAACTAAACGAGATTGAACCAGCACACTGACCAGGCATGGGGGCTGTAGAAAATCCAGGAAAACTGCTTCGAAAAGTGCATCACAAAGCCCGGGAGCTCAATTTCCAGCGGTGAGCAGAGTTGCGCGACTGCCTGTATGGAGAAGTACATGAACGCCTGGAACCACGTCAACTCGGCATACATCACTCGCGCACGACAGGAGGGTGCCGGCACTCAGTAATGATGAAGACCTATTCGGTCTGCTACGAAAACAATATATATTTGGACTACCACCGCTATGTACAATATTTCGCTGGTATAGAGAAATCGGTTCTAAAAGCCAGGGCGTCATGGGAGAGCGATAGATGGGACGGTCCCAACTTCATGGAATAAACACCAATGGGTCATCTTGATCGGTGTTTGGAATACTTTGTACACATAGGATACGAACGGACATTAATTGTCGAAACTACTCCACGATAAGGAAAAAAATACCGTTGCGAAATTGTAGAAGCATATGGTTTGCTTGGTGGTGATCATTGATTCTAAGGCTATGTACTTTTGCTTTTTTCTTCGGCTGCGGCCCGTTTTCGAGCAAGATATCTTTCTTTTGCGCTCGAAATTTCCCCTTCTGTCTTCTGGCTCTTCGAAGCCCGCTCAACCTCTTGGCGCTGAGACTCTGCCTCCTCTCTCGAGCGCTTCATCGACATCTCCAACTGCTCAGCCAACATGCGAGATTGCCTCTCGCGCATGGCCTGCTTGTTACCGACCTGTACGCCGTTCATGTGTCTTCTTTCTCTCTCCGCGGGCCGCTCATCGTCCTTTCTCGTTGGCGCCTTCTTCTTGGCCCCAAGGTTCAGACCGCCCTTCAAAAGCTGGCGCTTATCGACCACCTGCCCATCCTCATTCAGAGCGATTGAAGCTCCTTTCTCATTGAGTGCCTTGGCGCGATCTGCCTCTTGCTTTTCCTGGCTGACCTCCTCTTGCTCTGTTGATTCGGTTTCCTTCGGCCTATCCTTGGCTATGTCCTCGGCAGCCTTCACGGCCTGTGCATGTCTCTGCTCGTCCTTGTTCAATAAATTCCGGTAGAAGGTGGACATTCCTCCGCCTTGATTCTTCTTCGCCTCCTCCTCCTCCCTCCTCTTCTCCTCCTCTTCTATCCTCTTGTTCTCCTCTTGCTGTTTGCGATAGGCTTCCGTGACAAACTTCTCCTTGCCCGCGTACTCCTCGCCTTCCTCCTCGCGCTCCCGCGCAATCTTCTTCTCCTCCGCTATCAGCTGGTCCCTCTTGCGGACCTCCGCCGCCTGTAGCAGGTTGCGCATGTACTTGGGCCGGCGCTCCTCGTCTTCCTTCGGAGCCACCTTCTTGGGCTTGATGGAGTCGTACACCGAATCGAACTCGTAGATGCTCGGGTCGAGCTCGGCGGCAGCTTCCGCATTCTTGCGCGACGTGAGCGCACTCGACAAATCGCCAAACTCTTCACCCGTGGCGACGGCGACCCCTTTGGATTTGAGTTTCGGCGGCTCCCTCGGCGGCTCGCTCTTCTTCTTTGCGCTTTTCTTGGGTTCGTCTCGAGCAGTCGGCGCCGCGCCAAAGTCATCCAGATCCCCGCCGATCTCCTGGACCTTCGAGGACCTGTTCGCACTGCTGGCGCTTGCGGGACCTTCGTCGTCGGAGTCGTCGTTGCCTCCAAACACGGGCTTTCGTTTGGGGGGGGCTGGTTTTGATGCGCCCGGCTTTTTGGCCAGGCTCAGCCCGAAAGCTAATGGCTTGCTCATGGTCACAAGGGCGGCCTAGAGCTTGAAGCGCGTGCGCGCAGCTTCTGGGGCTATGTACTTCGTGATAACGGAGGTTCGGGGGTTGAGATTGTTCATCTGCCAGAGTCACCTGTCGCTCGTAGCCAGCTACTGATCAGCAGAAGAAATTAACATTAATGCTCGGCATAGATATGAACTGGTCAAAGTTTCCATATGTTGTCTCTATCGCTCTTATCGGTCGCTTGGTCATCTACTTGGGTAGCTAACCTATACCGAATACTCACCCGCCCTCTTACGGTTTATAGTGGTATATCAAATACGAGGAAACAGAGTTCGCATCTCCTGAGGGGTCGTACCAATACTACGTATTAGTCATTTATCTTTTTCAAGTGCAATTGCTGATACCAGCTTGACCTATAATAAAATACCTCCCGCCTTGTTCAGGTGGTATGTTTCAGACTTTGCAGTCATCCATGCACGCCGCTCACAACGTCAGCCTGCTGTCGATGACGTGATTAGTCACCACTGCCCCAAGTGTTCATCTAGATAAGGTAGGCATTTGCCGATAGAGGCGAAACCGAACATTCTCAACTCTCGAACCAGAACGTGTGGTATTACCCAAAACCATGGACTCTTGCTGCACCTGCGCGTCTATCTTGCCGACCGCGTCCTCAGAAAAATCCGAGAAGACCTCGCTCGAGAACCGACGGGTAGATTGTTGTGGTCGTCTGATATGTGGACAGTGCATTATTGTAGGCAGCTGGTATCTTTGTTTGTTCATTACATGTTATATTCTCTGAATCTAACCCAGTCCCGGTCCGAATAGAGCAATACTCGATTCGCCGAATACTGTCCATATTGCCAGATATCGACTGGCCCTTCCCCTTTGCCACAAGGCCTCAGAGAACCGCCTTCCTATTATTCTCTTCCGGCTGTAGCGGCATCAGCAATCAATCGTGCTGAGCCGCCGCCGTCATATACCCCATGTCCTGCCCCCATCACACGGTCGGCACCCATCGACGAACAAGCCGATATCATGGACGAAAAGCACACGACAGAGGATACTCTCCACTTCCTAAACCATGAGCACGATAGCATAACTTCTCTGTCACTTCGTTACGGTGTACCCGCGGCAGCCTTACGCCAGGCAAACCAAATCACCAGTGACCATTTGTTGCTTGGCCGACGGACCATACTGATTCCTGGACAGTATTATAAGAGCGGTGTGAGCCTTTCCCCACGAGCCATAGAAGGCGAAGATGAAGAACTGCGAAAGACCAAAGTCCGCCGATTTATGACATTTTGTAAAGTCTCCGATTACGACGAAGCTGTGTTGTATCTCGAACAGGCCGATTATGATATCTCGGCGGCTATAAAAGTCTATTTTGAGGATGATGCATGGGAGAGTGCCCATCAGACGAAGCCCAAACAAACCAACGTGCAACGGAAGCGTGGATCTCCGTGGAGATTATGGTGACGGGGTTGATGTTCGTGGAGTTCATGGAGTTAGTTTCTCGGGGGGAAATTTGTTGTTGATAATGTTATACGGGTTGGTTTTCGCGTATGTTAGATTCAATATTAACTCTCAGGGTCCCCCCTGCATGATAAATCAACAACCTTCCACAGGGCAGACGGAACCACTGCGGAAGTCAAAGGTTGCGTAATGCTCTCCATCTTAAAATGCTGACCTAGTTCGGATATCCTAATCAAATGTTAGCACTGCGTAAGTTGATAGTTAATGATGATCATGACTGACAGATATTTTTCGCTCAATCTCCCGAACTGAGCGATCTAATTCGCCAGCAATCATCTGCTTCTTGTCGTTTGGAAGAAGTGTGTATCTCTCGCAGAGATCACCGTCGATAACACCCTTCACAGGAGCATAGTAACCTCGATACATCAAGTGATCTCGACCTGCAATAGGTGGATCCTCTGTCCTCAGATGTTGCTCCAGATTCTGGAAGAAATCCGCATCTTCACGACTCACAAAAGGAATGAACACGCCGATGGTACCCATTATGCCGCTCCACAGCAGAATGTCTTGCCCTCCAACAACAAGACTTGTCTTAGTAATGCTGGTCGGGACATCCTGCGTGAAAAAGTGGCACATTAGGTTTAGTCGATGTGAAGTCCCGTGTAAGTAATCCCGCGCATTAATGAGATGAAGACCGGACTGTTCCTCATCAGCCTCCTCGCTAGCTTTCGGTGGGCATCTTACGATGAACATGTTGCCAAACTTGTCACCCCCTGCAGTCGACTCGTAATCCACCATTGTCGAACAGGTGGTCCACCGTGCGATGGTGTCATCGACGAACGGGATGAGCTTGTTGGTGGAGGGCTTGTATACCACGTAGGTCATTCCTTGTTGCACATCGCCAACCACGATGCGGTTCCCCTGCGTATTTAGGGACACGATCTGTTGAGGAGCAACATCGGCCTGGGCCTTGCGGAGCAATTGTCGCATTCCAAGATCGTAGACTCGGAGGGTCTTGCCAATACCCGCTGCAACTTTTCCTTGGAAAGGGAGCAGTGCCAGAGGTGGTTCCTCGACCTTTGTTTTATGGATAAATTCCAACTCCTTGCCGCCTTCTTGGAACCGGTACACGTACAGATATCCCTCGGTGAAGCTACGGGGGCTCAAGACCATATCTTTGCCAGTTCCAACAACAAGAAAGCTCTCGTTGTCCTGACTGGCAAATGGAACAACAGCAACGCTTACGGCAGCCTCGTTGTCTTCAAGATAAACTGTCTGCAGTACTGATGGGTTCTCCGAGACAGGATCGACAACACTCATACACGAGGCCCACCTACGATTACCTCGTGGGTGGCCAAAATCTTCAGGCGGCAGGGTGTTGTGCCCCCCATTCACCGTCTGAGGATCAGCTAGAAGCTTGGCTTGCAAGTCAGGAGATAGCGTATTGTTGTCTGCCTCAATAGTGTAGAAGATCGGCTGCTCAGGATGCTTGACGAATTTCTTCGGCGTGTGTGAAAGCCGGATTGACTTTTGGATGAGGGTCTCTCCCAACCGATCAATAGAGAAAATTCTTGTGCATATTCATGTTAGCAATCTGATTGAGATGCGGGATGCAAATAGATTGGGTGAACAAAATAAAATAAAAGTCCATATCAGTAGGAACAATTTGGAAATAAAATGCGTAAGAACCTCATAGCCCGTAGGCGTAGGATCCCAACTTCTCATCATAGGACGTGATATTAGAAAAATGCGAGAAATGGGAAAATTAACATACCGTAAGGATTGGTCCTGGATGCCGACAACACCCTCCTCACACTGCTCGCTGCTGAAATTCCAGCCCCAGTTCAGATCTACATAATCGAGCGGCGTCACTACGAAACCCTTTGAAATAGGGTCAGCGTAGCCGAGCCAAGGCCGTGAGCTAAGACCGAGAACACATGTGGTGCCCTGGACAGTGACCTGAAACAGCTTGACGGCCCTTGGACCCAGGAACTTTTGGCGTGTATCGGTCAGCTCACCGGTGATTTCATCCAGAACGGTCCGTAAGTAAACACCAGAATGTAATCCGATGTGCAGGTATAAGGTGGAACCACCAGAAGAAGAGTCTTCCATCGCAATGATAGCCAGGGAAGTCGGTGCAGCAGTCAAAGCCTGTACTGACTTATTCTCAAGGGTAGAGTCGGGATCGAGGCTGAGAATACGAACAGTGCAGTCGTCACAACCCACAGCCAAGAAAGAGCTTCGTAGTCTGCCTTCAGGGACGTCGCCCAAACTGAGTGATGTGACTGTCCCAGTCATTTCCTTTTTCTCGTCGTATTCCGCTAGAGAGCCATCCGAGTCAGTTTCAAAATAAACTATTTCACCGGAACTCAGCGCAATAGCAACTTGCTTGGTGTTGGTGGTAGCTGCGACGATGGAACGATGTTGAGGAGCCGCCCATTCATTGACCTGTCCATTTTTTATATGCCTTATCCCCTTTGGATGAACCTGAATAAGACTATCTTCGCCCAAAAGTTGAGCAGCCAATGTGGGCACACTAGTGAGGAAGCCAGAATCACTTACTTCCTCAACTGTTTCACCAATACTCAATACCAGTGTCGCGTTTGAGAATGAAAGTACAATGTAAGCATCATACTTATCGGACCGGTCAAGTTTCAGCGTCCAAACTGCTGATGGAATACCAGGCAGTTCGGATGAGACAATCTCGTTGACCTCTAGCCCATGCTTCAAAGTTCTGAAAGTACTTCGAGCTCCGTTCCCACAGACGGTAAAGATTTGTGGAGCATCTTCGCCAGTAACATTCTCGACTTTACAGTCCACGACAGGGTTCATAGCTGGGATGTTTTCTACCAAGGCCAGATTTTCGGCTGGTCGAGGGTAAAAGTAAGCGGGTTCGTAGTGAGCATCAGGAGCGACAGGGTAATCATCGCTTGAGAACTCCAGCTCGTCGTCATCATCACCCAGCTTTTCGAATTGATAGAACGAGTAGTCTCCAAACTGGCTTGCAACGTAAAGAAAACCACTCTTGAGAATGCACAAGCTGGATGCCACTGGAACTGTGTCAAAGTATTTGACCTTGAGTCTTCTGACTTCACCAGTAGGAGCGCCCTCTTCGTTTTCAACCATGTCGATGGTAACTTTTAGCAAATCCCCGTCTTCTGTTTGCAGCAAGAAGAAAAAGGCGCCAGCATTGCCCTTCAACTTGTGCATAACACCTGCAACAATTGTCCTTTTTCTTGTGGGATCCTCAGTTGCACCGCGACGGCGGGGGACGGGAACACGGAAGGCTTCTTGGTTCGAGTGCCTATACGTGATGTTCTCTTCTCCACAAACAAGGACGCCACTAGGCCCATCGTTGCCTCCAGGCACCTGGAAGAGGACAGAGGCGGTGGGATCCACGGGCTCTGACCACTTGCGTACCACGTGATTCAGACCAAGGTCCAACTCGTAATAGACGAGTTGTGTTTCCAGAGTTTCAAGGGCTTGGCCGGAAGGGTCTTGGTCCACATCTGAGTAATCGACCTCGAGGGCAGCAAAAACTGGATTCGCGTAGCCAACATCCAATGCCACCATGGATATTACGATAACACCGGGCTTATGAGCCTCAAGGGGAGATGAGATTGTCAACTCCGCCTGGGCATTGCGGTTCAAAACATAGACAAGCTTATTTTTTTCTGTTGACGCGATTAAACACGCTCGGCCCTTGGGATCGCAGGTGAGGTATTCTCCTGGGATGACCCTTCTGACACCAGATTTGCCGAAGGTTTCCAGATGGAGTCTGTGGAAGCGATTGTGGCTAGGAAGATACTCGATAATGGTGATTCGGCCAGAGTCCGTTGCCAGAATCAGATAGTCTTTAATGAATCCGGTTAGCAATTTGACTTCTAGAGAAGAGCCAAACTGGGCTCATATGTCCCAGGTAAGGCTACACTTTGCAGGCCCTGTTGCGCCCTTCTTGATATCACTAAGTGACACTCGTAATATCGGAAAGTTGATGGGATGACTTACCTTTGTTGCTTCCTGCAAGTCGGAAAGGCGCGATTGAGCGAATAATGCCGAAAATGTCATGAGATAAAACTGTTATGACCTTTCCCTGCTGGGGGTCGGGTCGCAGAAGAGTCAAACGCGACCCAGCCCCTGTGATGATGAGTTGTTCCTTGGTGCCTGCGAACTGACCCAGAACAGCTTGGACGACGTGGGTTGGCGGCTGGATCGTCAGCGAGTACAGGAACATGTTCGAGGTGGTCGCCATTGTTGCGGCTGGGTGTATTTAAAGCCTACGCGGCGGCAAAACGTGAATTGGCGATGCCGATGGCTTGTGAAGAGCGTGCCGCCCATGCAACCCACGACAAGATGTAGGTAGCAGAAGCTCTCACCTGGGTGGGAGCTTGAAAAGTTTCCAAGCACCTAAGCTGGCTAAGGATTTGGGCCGGCGGGTTGCGGAATAATAATTTCGCGGCGCATATTTTGGCAGGTGGTCCGAGCTTCCTCGAACCACATCTGGATTCTCATGGTGAGGTGCAAGCAAGAGCTAGGGTTTCTTCAGCAATCTTGCCATTTGTTCAGTCCAATTGACTGGAAACCTGCCCCAATGGAACCGTCTCTGCGGCGGGCTGCCTCGAGTTTCTGCGGGCGCTGCTCTGCATCTCTGAGAAGGCAATTGGTGTCACAGAGATCACCACAGCACATCACAGCAGCCCCGATCCGCCATGTCCGGGCTCTTCACGGAACGGCGTCGTATCAAACCAAGCGGTCGAACTCTCTGACTGGAAGCAGTGAAAAAGTGAGGGACTTCAGCTCCAATGCGAAACTCGAGGCTGAATCTGCGGCCGCTGCTGCCCCCGCCCCGCCCTCTTCTTCTGATCCGTCCTCGAGGTTGAGTCCCGACAATTTGTTTCATTCGTTTACCAACTCCCCGGTTCCCGAATTCCGACGCCGAGCAGCCTTCATGAGAGAACACGCATTCTGCCCTCACCCAGACCACCAACTCACCAGGGTCCCTA